GAAGCAGATGCCCAGTCTTAATTAATATGGTTATGTCCTCAGCCATGACCTCACACAGGAAGGACAGGGGTCGACCACACAGGAAGTGGAATCTGATCGAGATGCATTAGGCAGAGATGAAGTCATTACAACTGTAGCCAACTGTCACATGATCACATATATGCTTGAGAAAAAATACTGCAAAGAAAACACAAAACCATCATGGTCATTTATCGATAACAAAAACTGCTCGATGATTTTACAGCTTCTTGCTGTCTTGACTGTCATTTTCCCACACTCTACGTCAAATGCAACTTTTTGATTATTTAGTTCCTGATTTTTACCTGAACAGTTCTACTTCTTACTCTCATACAGTACATAAGCATGAGCACATTTATTCTAACAAGTAAACCAGGCCTGAAAAGCTCCCACATGCAACATTTTTAGATAAAACAATATTTAATATTCATGAAATTATAAATGAAATCAGCACTTAACCTAAACACATACACTGCTCGGTTCTTTATCTCTGCACCATTTCACACTGACAAGGTGCTCAGGGACCTATTGGAGGACAAGCTGCCTCCTCATTTCAGATAAAAGCCACACATCCCAGTCTCAGTATATCTGACCGTTTTCAGTCTGTGCCTAAAGCATCTGCTGGTATCACAGCTACTGGGTTGTTTCAGCCCAACCTGATAAATCTGCAGGATGACCGCCTCTGTGTTGTCTGACACAGGACACACACAGGTGGCGATGCAGCACTTGCACTGGCTTCCTCCTCCCTCACAGTGATAATGAAATGTGTGATTGGCTACTGGTTGAAAACCTCTTATCTCAAACGTGTCAGCTGCCAGGAATTAAAGAAATCCACCTCGGTTTCCAGACTGACAACAGTGACACCTGAAACCACAAAATGATAAAGTGTATAACCTGAATTCATGAGGATCACTCACAACACCTAACAAGACATGGCCCTTTCTCCTGGACTCATTGTCTGAATCCTGCAGTGTGTTGAATTCTCTGTTATTCCTTTTGAACAATGAAATCTACAACAAAGAGTCACTCAAACATCCATAAAATTTAACTTCCACTTGCAGTGCCTTCTGTAGAGACATATGTGTATGTGTGGCCTTTTGTCATGGTAATAAAAAAGAAGCAATATAGTCACCCAGCACCCCCACCCAATCTGACCTGCTCTAGGCAGGCAGGAAGACATTAGCAATCCAATGCAGGATGACAGTTTTCTGCCTTTCACTCTCACCTGCTGGGCTGTGTGTTAAAAAGGCTTAGGTTGGATGTAAGCACCATAAAAAAGTCATTACTGCCTTTCACAGGATGCTGATGAGAGACCCAGCGTATGAGAGGGGTCAAGTGAAATGGGCTTTAAAGGTTGATGCTGACATTTACAGGCCAATAATGCTTTTATTAAATATTTTCTGCATTTGTTCGATTGCTTTCACTTGTCCTGTTTCATGCTTAAAGCTCTGTGTAGTATTTTTGCTTCTTTAGAATCAAAGAGCTTGAAAATCTTCCAAACTAACATTTACACAGCATAACTGAACAGCATAACTCTTTATATCTGGAAAACAAACAACTGTTAGTCAAATGATATACATATGTGTATGTGTGTGTGTGTGTGTGTGTGCTTGCATATATAATCTCTACACTTTCATCACCATCAGTCAGTACCTCCCGTTTAAAGGTCATTTAATTAGCTTTGTATACGTAATTAAATTGCTTCACACATGTTACTTGATACATATGTTTGTCAGTCATGCAATGGACTCAGACTCAATTTTAATTTTGAAACTGGAGAAAATGATAATCTCTGGGATTTATAGATTTTTATGAATGGAAGGAATTACATTAACAGAGCCTTGTGTTAGTAATGTATCTGTTACCATGATGATTTAATATCTAAACGAAGCTCTTTATTACCAGCCCCATAAAATGAGGGCCTGTCTTAATTGTAGTTCGTTGTTTGTTTCCACACTGTGTTTTGAAGTGATTGGGATTCAGCTCACAGGCTGAAATGAGCTTTTGTAATGAGTCTAATAAAGCCAGTCTTTACAGACAGTCTGCCTTATGCCTGCATCTGGAGAGATGCTTATTAAGATAGTAGCTCCTTATCACACTGGCACACAGACAAATCTCTCTGTGTGAGTGAGCGTGTGACTATGTGTGTTTGTGAGTATGTGTTTTTAATGCCTTATAAAAGGACTACGTATGCTGCACATTGTACCAAAATGTATTTTTCAGGATCTCCTGCCGCCAGTGTGACTTTCAAAAATTCTTGGTTTGAACCTTTACCCTTTGAAAGCTGTAGCTGAGAATTAATGAGCTGGCAATAATGAACAATTAGATTACAAAGAGGGAAAAGAGGGAATGGGGGTGGGGGGCAAAGAAGGTAGAGAGCGAAGGTGCTCAGGGTCAAAACTGAGGCATTTATAATGAAAAGAGAAGCAATGACAGATGCCTTCAATGACAGGAATAACCTACATTCACACCCACACGATTCATGGTGTCTGCGGATGGAAGAAGGCGCAGGAGAAAACTCAAACACCAGAGGGCAGTAGAGTATCTGTTCAAGGCAAGGCGCTCAGGAATAACAGTATGGGAAAAAGTTAAAGGTCACAACAGCTGAACAGCAGTCATTTCTTATGATGTCACACATTAGAGGGAAAGACAGTACACACACACACACACACACACACACACACACACACACACACACACACACACACACACACACACACACACAGAAAACAGCTTCAAATACCATTCACACATTTCCAGACTATCACCTTCACATCAGATTCAGCAGATTGTGCCAGACTCCACTCACACACAGCACACACACAGACTAAGCACTATCCTTAGTACTATCCAGGACTATCCTCTTCTCTGCCTGTAAATACAGCCTGCCTGTCTCCCTCTGCCTCCTGCTGCACTATGGATTAACTCTTTGTTGCAGGTGTACACAACATGTTTGTGTGTTTAGTGCCAACTGGGCCATCCAAGCTGGATGCATGGTAGGAGCACAGCCACGGACACACTCTGGTATCACTTTACTAATCCGTCAGATAACTACTGGCATACTCTGCTAGTACCCATTATGTTCAGGGCATGCTGTGTTTGGTGTTTGCCATTCAAACACATCTGGTTCTGCTTATGCTTTTTCCTATATTTCCAACCATTTATAAAAAGGATGGGGGAGGGGGGGGGGTGTCAGCAATGATGTGATCTGTTATGGGAGGGGCTTTTTTCCTTGAAATTAGATTTGAATTTCAGGAGATCTTCATGCTCAAATAAAAAGAAGCAGCAGCAGTCATAGAGATGACAGAGACAGTACAAGCAAAAGGGCAAGTATTCATGGTTGAGAAATGACTCAAACTTCAACCCACCCTTATGACTAGTCTATTGACATCTTCTGTGGGCACTGAAATCTGTTCCTGACTCTCTAAAGATGATTTTTCACCCATTTGTATTGATGAAATCTGGTGAAAAAAATGGACCCTCCAGAGAAAAAGCTCTTACCCCACCTCACAAGCATTAATTGCTATGAAAGCTGCTGCAAAGCTCTGGACATAGCATCTTTTAATTTATACATAACCAGAGGAAGAAAAATGAATGTCACCAAATGACAGTGGAGTGAATGTTAGGATGACTGGAATCCTTTGTGACTATTAGGCAAAAGACAAGTTCTCACTGTTGTGTCTGGTGAGGCAGCCATCACGTCTCCAGACAGCCTCGTCTCATCTCACCCTGCCATCAGAGGAGATTGAGTTCATGCTAAGGACCATTGGAGTCTGTGCAGGTACTCCACTGAGGCTTTGACCTGCATGTGGAAGACTCATCAAAAACCTCATCAGGAATTCTGCCTCGGAGCCCTCCGATCTGTTCAGTCATTTCCCTGGGTGAAGCCCAGCAGACACAAGGCTGAAATAAGGGCAATAAAGCTAATATATGAACAAACACTACTTTGCTGGACTAATAAGGGTATTCTACCAAACATGGCTTTAGATAGAAATCCCCCATCTCTCTGTCACCTACATACACATGGATTTGAAAGATTTTAGGATATGAGTGCAATAACATTGCTCCTGGTCATGGAGGTCAAGGGTTAACCCAGCTGAGAGTGAAGATGGCTGCATCATCAGCACCACGGGGATAAAGAGAGGAAGAGAAAGGAGGGCAGACAGGAGAGAGCAAAAAAGTCACAGAAAATAGGTCAGTCAGAAAACATGATTAGCCACTACACAAATGACACCAGCAGCAAACTCGTGCCATGTGCGAGAGAAGTGGTGTCCTGTATCAGTTCCTCATGCTGGATTCAGATTTCCCAAATAACTGCTAAAGCTTACTGAGCCCACACTGTACAGACAGACTGGCAAGCATGGACTTGCTGCCTCACCAATACACACAAACCCACACAGACACCTTCTTCCCCTCACTGCCTTACATGGTGCTGGAGCGATCCCTCTTGCCGTTGCAGTCCTTTGCGTTGCGTGGGGTTGCTAAGCGCAGCCAATATTTCACAAACACAGCAAAACAGCCACCCTGATATCCTGCTACACTGCCATCCTGGACAGCAGAGACACAGCCTGCTCCATGTCCTTCCAGGAACTCACTGAATCTGGCTCTGTGTTTTTGTTATGCTACACTGAGCCAAATAAAGTGATGATACCGAGTTTGTCGATTTACAGCTGACAAGTGAAGAACAGAATATCTTTCTATTATATTTCTTTTATAAATACTTTATTGTCCTCCATGGGTAAAAAAGGCCCTCAAACTGCTTATAAACTATAATTACTTGGGATTTTTTTTTTTCTTTTAGAGTTTTAAATCAGTGAGTACTAATAAGAATTAATAATAAAAAAATATTCTACACAAATAATCAACCATGCATTCTTCTTGCAGCTCATCTCCATGTCATTGCTATAAAATTCATTATAAAGCAGTATTAGCAGAATAACACTTAGGATCTGGGTTTGGAGATGACTGTTTTACATCCTGACCTGAGTGTTTCTGCCAACCTCTGACTCTGCTGCGTTGTTTCTTGGGGGTCTTGAGCCCACCTGCTGGCCCAATGAGGGAATGTGCGTCTTGAGAGGTGCCGGAGGTAGAGCTAGAGGTGACGTCCTGCTGGGGGTCTGGGGGATAGGTAGGGCACTGTGCACAGGTTTGGGTTTGGGGAGTCCCGACTTCATATTTGAGGCCACTAGAATGGCTGGCATCTTTTCCCCAGCGACCAGATGACTGCAAGCTCCCCTCCCTGTCACACTGAGATGGAAATCCTGTCACCGGTAAGCAGGAATTCTCTGCAATCAAGCTACTTTTCTGTTTGTGAATGAGTTACCAGACTGGAGGAAAAAAAAAGAAAGGAAAAAAACACAGCACATATATTGAGGTTGCACCTGATCCAACGCCTGATTGAAGTGTGCAGTTTGTTCATGTCCCAGTCTTAGCTTCTTCTACTGATTCTTAGCAGGAGGTGGGGGTTGACCTGAGCTCCCCAACATGCAGTGGAATGGTTTAAAACCCACAGAATCCCACCTGCATCCTGTTACTAAGTTGGATCAGCTTGTCATTTCATGCAAGAATAATTTGGCCTCAGAGTTTTTTGGTTTAAAAAAAATAAAAGTATCCTGATGAAAATTCACTCTGCAAAGTCCAAGAAAGAAGATCAAAAATCCCACTTCACACCAAAAGGAATCCCCAGTTGCCTCGTGGTAGAGTGAGTGTTCCCTTCCATTTATTTCCAGCAATGAATGAGAGTCAGCAAATGGCCAAGGATCCAATTGGAAGCAGAGCAGCTCCACTCCCACAGAGTCTTGGTAATTAATTACACCGTCGCTTCAGGAAGACAGGAAGAAACTCCTTTGAGGAAGAGCAGAGAGAGTAGTAGAAACGAGGAGATGGAGAGGAAGGGGGGGGAAGCAAAAGTCAGCAGCGACACAGCGACCACTCACTTCAGCGACTGCTCAGCCTGTGACTACACAGCCTGAAACACACTGCGCTTTCCTCTACTGCCTCTCTCTCTCTCCCTCACTGGTAAGTCCGTGGTTAGCAGCAGGTGTGGCTTAGATCAGGACTGACATATGTGAAAAGCTCAACATATCTACACAGTGGGTTCCTCTCACACAGCGAGTCTGCCTCTCACATAAAGACTCCACCACGATGCTATATGTTAACCACTGATACAAAATAATATTCATTAAAAATAATAATTTGCTAGTTCCACTTGCATTTTAATATGCGGGATAAGGATGCCCATGGTCTTAAAATGTGGCAAATCATCCCAGCCCACTCAACACGGGTTGCATAAAATCATGTGATTTTAATAGAAAACAACAATACTATTAACCTGCTTTGATGCTATTTCATGAAAAGTAGAATTTCCAGCAACAAATATTACATGGAGTTTTTTGCACACGTTTGTGTTCCACATGAATGTAAGCCTGCTTGTTCTGGTCATTTCAGGAGTTGTCATCCAAATTAATGGCTTTGGTGATGCAGATTCTATCTCCAGTGCCATCATCAGGTTGAATTTGTGATACTGAGTGAAATATCTTGACAACAAATCAATACACAGTCATTAATTTTGGTATAGACATTCCTATATAATGTTGTACTGATTAACAGACTCTCTTTTCTGTATTCTTTCCCTCTTCTGTCTGTTAAGCTTCCACTTTATAAATATGAGGATGGCCAATTAGTGGACTAGTGTCAGATCAGCCTAACTCCCAGCAGGTTTAGTCAAGCTGCTGAGATCTTGCTACAGTAGGGAGGGGAAAAAAGAGATTTACTCCAGAGAAGGATTTACGCCCCTCCCCAGTCACCCATAACTAGTTAATTTAAGAATGTACAGAGTAATCTGTATTTGAATCAAAAGTTGTATATAACTGTATTCTCAACTATGTTTTGATGGAAAAATATTTTCTCTCCAACAAAAAACTAGCAGTGGCAAGATTTCCCTGACTACTGATGGCACCATCAGGAACCAGCCATCCTTTATGAACTGTTAATGTCTCCACATGATCCCATGGAAATCTTTTCAGCGGTTGTTCAACTATTTCCGACTAAAACAACAACAAAAAAAAAGCCAAAAATCTTGCCCCAGGTCTGCTCTACATCTTCCCAGGTCTTTTAGTTTGAAACCACTGTTTACTTTAAAAAATAGTCTAATGCAGTAATTACTTACAATAAACAATCTAAATAAAAAATTGAAAAATAGACTGACCAACATTAGAAACATGTGAAAGTTTATGTCTCTAAACTGAGCGCACCTCTATTCCATTCGGATGTAAAAGGGTCAGACATTAACTATACACTCTCTCATTTCTAATAACTCTCAGAACAGTAACACCCCTGCCACACACACACACACACACACACACACACACACACTGGACTTTTGCAAGAGCATGATTTAATCCAAAGGAAGGGTGTGCTTAGTATGTTAATCTTAATCCTGTTACATTAATTCTAAATTATGCAAATACCAATATCAGCTTATAAATTTGTGTCATGGTGGTGTACGTAGAGAGGGGTGGGGTTGTAGGTGAAATTATTATTTATTTTTTTATACCCCGTGAAACCTGAAACCCTGTACACTGTGTTTGTCTTGGATGTTTCTAACTGGCTTCAGTGAGTTTCACCCATTTGTATGTAGCCTTGCAATCTCTACCTGCAGGTCTCCCACCTTGTCAACTACAGCTGTAAGTGGTGGTGAGTGAAAATACAGAGGGCCTCCATGATTAAAAACAACCATATCCGGACATCACAGGGCTTCTTTGAAACATAAAGGAAAATACATTTACCCCACCCTGCTTGTCTCACGTCATCCACTCAATTGGAAAATGAGGAAAGAAGAAAAACATACAGCATGTAGAGTTAGAGGGGAAACTTCCATTATTTTCCTACTATCCTCTGTGACACTAAACACGTTCCGGTCCCTCACATATCACACTGCAGCACTTCGCAGAGTAGAAAGAAAAAAGGAGTCATATTTGATTTATGCAACAACCTTTGAAGATACCTGATGACAGTCCAGTGGAGTCTAATAATAGAGCCCGTTTGGCAGTAAATGGGCGGTATTGACAGTAATAACTAGGACACCCACTGCATTGCTCTGCTGTGTGTTTATACAGTATTTCTTCTTAGAATAATAAACAGTTGTGTGGGGTAGATGGTGGGCGTTTGCTGAGAGCACAATGACTTGTTCACACTCAATGCACAGTGTTTTAAAAGAATTTAAAGGGTATACATTTAGTCAGGAAATGTTACCTTACCACATCCCAAAAAGCAGCACAGACATTTGAAATTGTGTCACAGGACAAATGATGCTAACCTCTGTCCTGGTAATCAGCAGGTAGATTGCAGCAAAAGCTGGCACACGCCCAACTTTATTGCTATGAACATGTATTTTTGTATCAAACCACTGTGTGCCAGAACATTCACTCTTATTTTAATGGTTTCACTGACATAGATAAGGAGGCAGCATTTTTTTTTATATAACTGAGCTATTGTCTGTCTAAACAAAGCCTATTGTTACAAATAATGACCTCTTTCTCTGCAAATGTTGTGTTATTCCAGTAGTTGTGTTTATGCTCCAGTTGGAAAAAACGAGATTTAAAGTTGGCACTAGTGTTTTAGTTTATAGATGAATCAGTTAGTATCCAATGAATATTCTCTGTCAAGTTGACAAAAGAGTAAACCTACCAAACACGTAATGAAATTCTAACTAGGGATGTCGCCACAACCGAAACAGTACCTTTCTATGCCAAAATTCTGAAAATATGAAGGAACCTGTTTTTCAATACTGAAGGCAGCAGGCATACAGCTGCTCCACTCTTTAGTAGGGATGGGTACCGATATCCGGTGCCATTATGGCATAAACGGTTGTAACCAGACCGAAAAGCAGCGCACATTTCGGTGCTTTATTTCGGTGCTTTTTTTTTCTTGAGATGTCATACACTTTGGATTCTAGCCAATCATTTTACCTTTCCAAGGATAGTAGGCGGGCCCAGGTACGTACGTTCTTTTAGAGCAGAGCTACAGATTAAAGACGCCCAAGGCGAAGTGGTCAAAAGTCTGGCTGTACTTCACAGCAAAATATGCAAACTCAGCAGCCTGCAACAAGTGCTTTAAGGTGATATTGTGCAAAGCAGGTAACACCTCGAATCTGATGAAACACCTGGCGACGCATAGCGTTTTTTTAAAAGCCGAGATATGCACCGTATTTGTTAGCTTGCTGCAAGGCCTCACACTGAGCACATCTACTGCGGGTGTGGTGCCTTTTATCGGACCCGGAATTAGAAACATCCCCCAAGAACCCGAAGAGTGGAGTCCTGGCCCCTAGCCCTGCCAAGGTAGCAGAAATGATGACGGATGATGATGGAAGCAGCAGCCGTTCTTCTCTGGGTTAGTAGCTTAATGTTGTTCGTGTGTAATTTACGTTGAGTAGGCTAACCATGTTATTAAATTAATGCACGTAAGATGAATTAGCAAACACCGTCGTAGTTACATGTAGGGGTGGGTTTTGCTTATCGATTTATTGATTAAAATTGATTCTAGCTTGGATAACGTGATATGGATTCATTAAAATCCAGAATAGATTTTTTAATATAAATTTATTTTGCCCGAAATGCCAGAATTTCAAGTTAAACCTCATAAAATTTCAACAACAACCAAAGAGCTAAAACAGGAAATGAGAGCAGGTACACGGATTCTGCACAAAGACATAAACGCAAAGCGTGGACCAGCCGACAGATCAGAATCAGTATGATGTCGCCTTTCTCACCCGACGGCACGGACACAGCTGAAAGCCGACAGCTCACTGATTCTGATCTGTCGGCGGGTCCGAGCTTTGTGTTTACGTCCTTTTTGCACTAGATTCTGAAGCTGCAGGTTTTATCTCTCTCCAAACAATATTGACTGAACCAGCAGCAAAAGAAGATCCAAACTACCCTTCACATGAACATCGTCATGAATTCCCTCTTACTTTTGCTGTTATGCTTCCCAGCGATAAAATCACATTTCATGCACAGCTCTATCTCTCTCTCTGTACTTCAAGAACAGTTTCCTGTCTAAAAATGTGTTTTCTGCATTATTAACTTGCTTATTACGCACAAGTCTAGCGTTGTTTACAGCGCTGTCGGCCGCTGTTTTTTTTTCCTTTTACTTACTTCCGAAAAGAAAGCCTAATTTCTGCTGTTCAATAGGCTACTGAACAAATTTAAACTTTTTAAAATTATGCAAAATTGCAAAACGCTTAGCTGTGTCTCTAATAAAACCTCTGTAACTTTGCTCTGCTTCACTTCAGCAGCGTTTTTGATCTACTGCAGAATATTTTTTATAAAATCTCAGGCCAGGAAAATCACCCTCATGTTTTTCTGTGTTTTATCTTCAGCTACTTGACACAAAGGCATCTGCTGTGATGCTTACACCTTTGATAAAGTCTCACAAGTGTCAACTTTCTTTTTATAGATATAAAAATATGGAAATGTACTGATACATGATCTGAATTATAATATTTCTGACTGTCTGAGGCAAAATTTCCCCGATTCAAATCGAATTGAATTGAATCGAATCGTGGATTGAATCGATTCGGGACCTTCTGAATTGGAATTGAATCGATTCTAGAAGTCAATGATGATACCCAGCCCTAGTTACATGCGGCTGTCTTCTTGTTTGATAGAGTGATACCATATGTGCCCTATAACTGCAAAAAAGGCTAACATTGTTATTGTTTTACAAAAAACCAGCTAAACATGATAGGTTTTTGGACAAAGTTTGTGTTCTCCATTCTTTAAGCACCGGTTCAAGCACCGTTTAAGCACCGGCACCGTTTCAAAAGTACCAGTTTGGCACCAGTATCGGATAAAACCTAAACGATACCCATCCCTACTCTTTAGCAGCTGAGCATGCAAATAATAAACAAACTTGGTGAGCACCTCAAAAATTGACA